GTTGCAGAATGCTTAAATGACACTAGATCAGGTGCTGTTTATGTTAGCATTATGGGAAATAGCTAATAGACTCCTGCTGTAATTTATTGTTTTTTTATGCAAGGATTACTGTTCCAGTGGTACAAGGTTTGCAATAAAACAATAATATTAAAAGAAAACAGATCTGAAAAAGTTAAAAATTGAAGCTGTTAAGATAAGTAACTTGGATCTTTATGATCTGTACTTTATCACTTTTATTTAGTTTTTTTTTCATTTTTTCGTTTTGCTGTACATTGATGATTTCCCTACAATTAGAGAAGAGAAAATGAGAGGTAAAAATATAGTTTTAGAGGAAAAATTGATATTCATTTAGGAGTAAATAAACAGATTTACAAACAATGATAAAATAAATAAAACAAATTCCAAGAGTATAAGTCCTGGGAGTTATTTAAAAAATTATAGATAAGAAGTTCAAAATATTTTTATTGAACAGAAAAAATTTAAAAATTCTAGAATGCCAAAACTAGAATTATCTCTTGTATAGTATTGGTTGATATAGTATTGAATATTTTTAGATAGGTATGATGTGAAGTAGTTATTTAACAGTCCAGGACTCTGATGAAAATGTTTAAAGGTAGTATTCAATTAATGATGAATTTAAGCCTCAGAAATTAAATAGAAGTGAAGCTTGGTGTTTGTGATTATTTTTGTGTTGGATTAGTGGATTTAATGTGTATTCATTAATAAAACCTAACTGTGGTTGGGTGTGACCAAATGATTATTATGACAGGCTCTGGATCAAAGGATTCAAGAAGTGAATCTGCTGAGCACCCTCCCCGCTTTCAGCTTCAGTGTATTATAGAAATGATAGTCAGTCCTATTATTTGGTTCAAAGAGACAGTATCTGTGGTAGCAGATGCTTCTGGCTTGATAGCTTTATCTGATTTTTATGGATTTCTGGTATGACTATTTTGTCTTACATGTACATAGGGTGTTGTTCAGGTTTGAAAAATAGGGTTTCTGATATGACTATTTTGTCTTGCATGTACATAGGGTGTTGTTCAAGTTGAAAATAGGGTTTCTGATATGACTATTTTTGTCTCACATGTACATAGGGTGTTGTTCAGGCTGAATCATTGCTGTTCCTAGTTATTTTAGTGCTGTTGACTAGTGAAATGTTCAGATACCAGCTTAACATGAGGATTTTGTTTGATGATTGCTAGATATACACAACTGTTTCATTTAAATTGAATATGAGAGTTATGATTTAGATAGTTATAAAGCACGAGTGTTAAATTTAATATTTTTAGAAATGATAGTTCATTGCAGGTTTGTTTGCTTAACTGTGTACAAATTATATGTTGTGCAGTTCGCTAGTCTGTGATTATCTGATTGCATCATGTTACTAGAAGCTTTTAAGTTTTTCTTGTTGTTTCAATGAGTATTGTTACATAATAGCTTCTCGTAGTTTGTAGAGGGTTCTAGGCATCAGTCAGGCAATATATATATAGGCAACCAAGTTAGTGCAAATAAGTTAGTGAAAGTACAAGTGAAGTTAGACTGCATGCAGGTTTAGCCATAATGGGTGATTTCTAAAGTGAGTTTCACAGCTTGTGTTGTAATAACAGAGGTAGAGGAGAATGATTTGTCTTGTTCAGCCATAATGGGTGATTTCTAAAGTGAGTTTCACAGCTTGTGTTGTAATAACAGAGGTAGAGGAGAATGATTTGTCTTGTTCAGCCATAATGGGTGATTTCTAAAGTGAGTTTCACAGCTTTTATTGTAATAAGTGGTAGAAGAGAATAATTTGTCATGTCGAAGGGTGTTCTAATGTAATTGAACCTGCCTGTGTGGACATTGATGAAAAAAGAGACTATTATTTAAATCCCTAGATACAACTGTGATAACCAATAGTGCAACAAATTTTTGTATATGTATTTGTCTTGTTTTGATTGTATTATTTTAAAACAAATGGATTGTATGCTGTCTGTTTATTGTTGAAATTGGTCACCAACAAGTCACAGACACCTGACCCCATAAAACCTGACAATGATTAGTGAGGAAGGGACCCAAATTGGTGAAATGTATTAAAAGGGAAGAACTGTATCTTTATGTTATTCATTTGTACCCATAACTTTCATTTACAAAATATTCAGATTTTCTAAATGTTTTGTGCAAAATTCATATGACTTGAACTTGTACACCTACAATTAATGATAGAAACTAATGATTCTTTACATATAGAGCAATTGAAATTGTGATGCTTATAGCAGATGTACATAAAACCTTACAAATTTCAGGGAAGGGGACTAAGCAGTTTGTAGAAATTCAGTTCGTCAGAACAAAAAAGTAAATATAAGACTCAGATCATGTGATAGTTAAAAATGATTTTACTAACATCTTGTTCAAATAATTGACAAAATGGTTCAGTGTCCATTTAACGTACTTATTTTTAAAGACAGCAAAATATTGTGTTTATTTATAAGGTGATTTATGTAAGTAGTTTCCTTTTATCAAAAAGAAATGCTTATGACATAAATAGAATTGCATTATCCATATAACATTTGTTTTAATAAAATATGTCATAATAAAGAAATTAGCCTAATGTGCACACGGCTGGTCCATTGGATCAATCCTGTATTGGAGAAGTAATGTTAACTGTAATTCCAAAATTACGATGTGTATCTTCATGAAATGTAGCAAGTTTTTAGTAAAAAGTATGAGTCTGTTTTACATTAAATATTACATATGTTAAAGTAATTGTACTCAAGTTATGTCTGTGAATTGGAGAAGTCAGTTTGACTCAGCTTCTGACAACTCAGAGTCAAGATGATGGTCACGTGAAGAATAAAAACATTTTTGTACATTGTTCAGTTTGCATATTGCATATTCATAACCTCTAGAACCTTCAAAATGCATATTTACAATTTTTTTCCAATTACTCATGTATATTGTAACTGGTATCTACCCTAAAGTGAAATGTTGCTAAATCATCAGTGAATAGTTGATAGCTTTGACATCAAACATATGTTACCATATTGTATAGCACTCTGTAAAAGTTAGGGAATGTGCACTTAGATACCCACTCATGCACATAGGGTTAAAATAAACAAAGCATAAAGAAATATAATTCACACTACGCATAGAGCATAGTTATCCAGAATTTACAGAAAGGAAATATTTTTGTAGTATGTTGTAAAGATTAAAACATGCATTTTTTTAGATTAATAATTTTGATCATATAATGAACAATTATTTTAATACTAAAAGAAGCATTGACCAAATTTTATTATTATTATTATGAGGTTTTAAATATTGGACGTATCAATTCAGATACTTTTCTCTAAACATTATTGTATTTCTGCTTTTTTTTAAAGTTTTTATGACTGAGAAAGAAGCATATTTCAGTGCTAGAATGATGATAGATGTGATTCTGTATATAATTTGTAGTACATGAGAATTAGTCTTGCAATGTTTGTTTCAGAACAACCAGGAGTTATGGCACAGTCAGTGGAATAAACTTTCATAGTTATGACTACAACAGTGGTGGGATGGGCAAAGTTCAGCCTGGTCTTTGTGGGCTTAGTAATCTAGGAAATACATGTTTTATGAATTCTGCATTACAGGTGATAATTCAAGATTTGTTTTCTAAATTTAAATTTAGTAGGAACACCACTGTGTACTTGGATAAGAAAAGGTTTAATCAGTAGCCTAGAATGAAATGAATATCTGTGCATTCACTTTAACTTAAGATGTATTTATCTAATTGTCAGGTTTTACCAGTTTTTTTAATGAATAAATCTTTCTAATAGACTTAATTACACAGCAGAAAAACCTATTACACTAACATGCAGATCACTTTCTTATGGCTTTAAATTTAGTTTGTTTTTTTACTTAGTTTTACTATGAAATAATGCTTCACTCCTAACATTCTTAAAAACAGTTAGTTATCAAATACTCTTAAGTTGTACAATTAGAATGATAAAGAAGTGTTAAAGTGAAGGTGGTTTTGGTTAGTTGCAAAAGGTTTTCCTCCGTTATTTTACAATAGATGTATTAGTGTGTTAAAATTAAAAACTGTATGATTAAATTTGGGAGGAAGTGAGAAAGTTTTCAGGCAATATATGAAAGTAATCTTTCTAGGAATGTTCAGTTTAATGTACACAAACTAGATTACATTAACATCTTCCTAAAAATTCTTATAAGTTTAGTTCAATGACTGATACAAAATTATAATAATTTCTGTAGTTTCAGCAATATGTTTTGAATCTTGTTAAGGTAACGTTTCTTATATTAACAGAAGAAGATTTACCAAATTCTGGTTAGCCAATAAGAATATTCGACTTGATTTATTGATCGAACTATTGTTTAAATTCATTCTCAGCAATATCAAGTTGCATTAAATGTTATTTCAGCTGTGGATGAGCTCCGGATGCAGCATCACTTCCATCTTAAACATAGTTCAAGTTTTTCTATCTCAACTTAATTTTTAGTAATATTGTAAATTGTAAGCCTAATAAGGAAAAAATAATAACTAAACTCACTGTTCATATGTTAAAGTCGACATTTTGTTTTTGTTGTTTTTAATGCTTTAGTGTATGAGCAACACACCTCCTCTCACAGAGTACTTTCTAAAAGGAAAGTACTGGGATGAACTCAATGTGAATAACCCTTTGGGAATGAAGGGTGAGATTGCTAAATCATATGGAGAATTAATGAAAACCATTTGGTCAGGCCAGTTCACCTACACCATACCTCGATGTTTCAAGGTTTGAGATTTGTCTTTCATTTAAACTACAAGCCATCAAATTCAAAGCTTTAATTTTCTTGTTCAGTTAAATGTAATGTCTCATCCTAGGACCAACATATGATAACCCTTACTTCTGAAATCGTGAAATGCAGTAGCTATATCTAGTTTTGGTTTACTGTAGGTTTTTGTAGAAAACATTTTGGTTAATGCAACGGTATAGTGAGAAGATTTATGGATGAAACTATTTTACTAGAATTTGATATTTTTTTTTTATCAGTTGGCAGTGGGAAGGTTTGCTCCTCAGTTCTCGGGTTACCAACAGCAAGATTGCCAGGAACTCATGGCTTTCTTGTTGGATGGTCTCCACGAAGATTTAAACAGAGTGAAGAAGAAGCCCTACATTGAAGTGAAAGATGCTGATGGCAGACCTGATGAAGTTAGTTTCATGTTTGTTTCTGAATGAATGAAGTTCTGCGTTTATATTTTTCTGTACTTGATTTTTCAACTTTTACAAGTCTGATTATTTTTGATCAAATTTAAACTACTTTCCATGTGCTCTATAAAAAAAAAAATTTTTAAATTCATAAAAAAAATAAAGAAAACAATCACAAAATATTTCCAACTGTGGACACATTAATGGAAATAAGATAATTAAAATAGTGTATTTTATTTAAAACATTTTTTCATCTTTTCCAAGTGTGATTAGTTTAAATTTAAGCTACTTTCCATGTGCTCTATATAAAAAAAAAAGTTTATACTTGTACAAAAAAAATAGTTTAAATTCATAAAAAAATAAAAATAGAAAAAGCATTCAAAAAATATTTCCAATTGTGGACACATTAATGGAAATAAGATAATTAGAATAGTTTATTATATTTGAAACATTCTTTAATGTAAAATACAGTTCTGTGCGAAGTATTTTAGATATTATTTTAATATATTTCCTAAACACAAGAGAAATCTTTATAGCTTTTACTGCTTTAAGCTAGTTATTCTTTTATTACTCTTTTCTAACTGTAACATTTTTTTATACTTTTTTAATATGAATTTCAATGTGCTGTTTATGTATGTCATATCCATAAACAGAAATAATGAAATGGAAATAATTCATTATAATTTCAGCACCATATATAGAAATCTAGTTTTGGCTTTTCTTGTTTTTAGCTATTTGTATAGATGTCTGATTCCTCATGTCTTCAACTATTGATATACAATGGTTGGCTGTAATGTGACGTGGGTTGGTCTGTTGTAAATCTTCCTGAACATCCTTCTTATTAATGAAATACATTTTTCCAAAATGATAAACTTTTTGTTTCTGATATATGGATTTAGCCACAAATATTATAATATTTTAACTGATTTATCAGGTGGAAGTTGAATTTTTGAAACACATGTTAGAAACATGGTAATACCAAAACACATTTTTAATTAAGGACATTTCAGAATTGTTTCAAATTCCATCATCGGCATTAAGACCTCAAGAAAACGTTAATTCACAACATTGTTTTTGATATAACCAAAAGTTTAGAAAGAACATGGATTTAAGAGGTAACAGCATAATATTATATTGATTAACTGTTGCATTAATTACATGTCTGTTTTGTACATAAGTGGCTATTGTCACTCAGTGTTATCATATTTATTTGTTATTAAAGGTGGTGGCCAAAGAAGCCTGGGAGAATTACCTGAAACGAAATAATTCCATCATTGTTGACATTTTTCATGGACTCCTCAAGTCTACTCTTGTGTGTCCAGTGTGTTCAAAAGTCTCCGTGACTTTTGATCCATCTTGCTATCTGTCTTTGCCTCTCCCAGTCAGAAAAGAGCGTCAGATTGAAATTTTCTTGGTTAAGTTAGATGCCAGTAAAAGGATATTACAGGTACAAATCATTGACCATATAATAGATGAAAAGACTTTTCAGAACTAGAAAGTTTTCAACTTTTCTTTGTTTGTTTAAAGGTCAGTGTCAGAATAATTTACTCAAATTAATATTCTTGGCAAGTTCATATTTACATTGAGTTACTACTGACTGTTTCAAAGAAAAATCAGAACATGCTTTGTGGCTTTGTAGTGATAAATCTCACGAAGATTTCTACTTAGTAGAATTTGTTTTTCCACCGTAAATGAGTGTTTGATATTGGAAGTATTTTTATAACATACAAGGTATAAGATAGTTGGTATGATATTTTTTCTTGAAATGAAGAATAGTTTTATTTACCATTATGAAACTAAATATCTGAATATTTTTTAATCCTATTGCCACGGGCATCCTCCACTGCGCATATCACGGGGTTTTAGTGACTTGCATTCAAAATTTTATTAATCTACTTTTTGTTTACGTTATACCAATTAATATAGCATAAAATCTTAGCTAATAATCTATATTTTAATAGTATATAAGTTTTAAATTATTAATTTTATGAGGCAATATTTATAAAAATCCTGAATTTCCCCTAGTGTGACATATTTTCTCTAGGCATCTCCTCTTCTTTATTTTATCCACCACCCCTCCAATAAGTATGAAATTCAATATAAATTACTCACTATAAATTGTCATTGCTCAGAAAAACCATAATTTTTATAGCATTCAATTGTGTTTGGTTATAGAGCTATCAGACAGAAAATCAGACCCCTCTTGCCACACCCACCCGTCACATTCTCTCTTTCAGAATTTCTTAATAGTTCTCTCTTACGTTTAATTCTATATTATCTATAACCTATAGAAAGCCAAGGTTTCATTTATCAAGTGACATATTATATAATGTTTTTTGAACAGAGAATTATCAATTTCACTGTTAGTACAAGCTTTGTTCCAATGGGAAAGAGAATGACTAACATGGATGGTTTTGTAACAGTTATTATTGCATAGCTAGAAAGCCAAAAAATTGTGATAGTTATGGGAAATTGTCTACTTTTTGCATGTTATTATTCTATGTTCTTTGGTGCATTGTTCAATTTAATAAAGATTATTTAGTGCATTACTACCATTAGTATATTAAAAAAAAAGTAGAGTTAAGTGTCATCGACAATTGACGGCAAGAAAAAAAGAAGATTTGGATAAGTTTTTATTTCTTGCTTTTCATGTTTATTCTTTATTATTATAAAAAGTAACTAAAATGTAAAAATAGAGATCTCTTTAAGTTAGAATAGGTAAAATAAATAATAATAATATAATAAAAATGTTTCATGAGGCACTCATGCGAGCAGCTCGTGTAATTCGATAGCGTAATGTGAAGTCCACATTACCCAAGTGATTTACAACTTATAATGGTGCGAATAGTAGTTAAGACACTGTTCAAAGTGCAATACAACAATAAAAATTTATAATTGATAGATATGTACTGTTATGAGTTTAAAGCTATTTGGGATAAACAAATGTAGTTTCATGATACAATTTGAAGTTATTCTAGAAAGAAAAAAGGGTAATTTACATTTATTTTGATTTTTTTGGGTGGTTATGAGGTCTGTCAAATTGACCAACCATGTATAGAGTTAGGGTAGAGAAAATAACAGATAAACTATAAAGTTTTAATGAAAACAAGCATTTGAAATGTATTTAGGTAGTTTTAGAGATTACACAAATCAAACCTGAGATTTTTGAGATGAAGAAAAGTATTTTTAATCTTAACATTAAAATCACTTTGCACACGGACTATTCAAAACAAGTACTTGATATATTCATGGACAAATCTTTTTTTAGCTTATTTGAAAGACTTGTAATGTTTACTGAAAGACTGCCAAATTTTGTGAAGAAATACATACTGTTAAAAGTTAGTAGTATTAAGTCTATAAACACTTTATACGAGTACAAGAAGGTCATGTGGTCAATCAAATCAACTGTGCTCGTGATGAGAGAGTTAACTGAAATTGGTTAACCAGTTTAGCTGTCTACCAAAACTGAAATATCAAAATAGATATTTTAATGTTGTTGGTTTTTATTTCAAACTTTATGTTGATTGTTTTATAAGTCTTGACCACTTCTTTTAATGTTTTTTGTCAAACTTATTTTAATTAATATCAACTTTTGATCAAAGAAAGCTACCTTTTTAGATGAAAACTAAAAATTCATTAATAAGTATAATTATCTAAATATACACTTCTTATTGTCTTACTCACTGAGATTAGAATGCATTGTTTCATCATTTGTGTACCCTTGCTGTTAATGATATTTTCAGCTATCAACCTAACAGTATCTGTCGAGTTTTGGCCAGGTTATTCCTAACTAGATAAACTAAGCTAACAATGCAAAACTATTTGTAATGAAAGTATAATAATAATAATACAAGATTAAAAATAATAAAACAAGACATATTAAGCTTATTAACCAATAATTCTAATTAAAATAACATTAAGGAAAGAATAGTGTACCTCACTTACGGAACACAAAAACTTATAGTTAGCTTTAAGTACTGTCTTAGATTTTATGTTCGTTGAATAACAACTTTAGTATGAACTTTGAATAAACAAACTTTCCACAGTCCTCCCTAAAATTAAACAATTTGTCTTGATTCTCTTTTGCCATTAAAATGGGTATCTGATTCATTTATTTACTGAACACTATATTTTTATTTAAACAAGATGTTGTTGTTTTTAGATGAAGGTAACAGTCCCTAAGATGGGATGTGTACAAGATTTGTGTGAAGCAGTAGCAAAACTTGCAGATGTCCAAGCTGATAGAGTAAGTTACAAGTTTGCTTATTTATAGAACTGGGTTTTGTTTTCACTAAGTTATCAAATAATGTGGTATACCTCATAATTTTCTTTTCTATATTATGATGATGAAAAGATTATAATAAAAGTAAAAGTACATGCCTTAGATTGAAGGTTGATTAAGTATTTTACAGAAAAATATTAAAAAAAATTATCTAACCTATATAAAAGCCAAAATGCATTTATGCAGATAGAATAGTTCAATTACTGTCTGCACATTACAATTTTAGTGATGGGGGTGCAAGGGGGACTGTGAGTCATGAAACCTTATAGGTGTAGTGAGTGTTGGTATAATAAGCCTAAAGTAAAGACGTACTGTGGGATCACCTAGCCTAGAGCCAAGTGCATAAAATTTATCATGAAAGTAAAAATATCAATTCAATATTAAGCTTAAATCATTTCTGAATTAAGCTATTTTGTATTATTACCAATGTTTTTAATAAAATACAAACCTGTTTAATCAGCGGAGACTCTAAATTATGAAATCAAAAGATATTTTTTTCCGATTTTGTTGTCTGTACATTTCGTTTTATACTTTCAGTACTTAGACTAACAACAATGTTAGGCCATACTTTTGTTGCTGAGCAACATGACATAAAAGCCATTGTTGGAACGTAGTGTTACCAAAATACACTGGCTTTTCTATATATTAGAAGTTGTTAATCTAACTGATTTTTACCAATACTTATTCTATGAATATGGCACGAATTAATTTCATGTATGATCTTAACCCTTTCGAGATGGGTCATGGGTCAAAAGCCATGTCATCTCGTTTGTTGACTCCCATTTGAAATTTTATTGAACTACTATTTCATGAATTTATATCAATAACTTTGGTATCAAACTGTAGATTATAATTCAAATTTTAGTACTATATATTACTCAATTTCTTAATTTAAAAGTAAATATTAAAAAAACACATTTAAACATTGATTTTTGTGTGTCACATGGTATGTTGAATGCAGCACTGGTTCAAATTAGATGTCTGTGATGTCAAAATATTAAGTCTATAGTTTCATACGAATTAGGAACTCAAATTACTGATATTGACAAGCTAGAGTATAAAATAAGAACCTCTTATATTTTCTATTTGCTAAGATATTGCTCATGTGATAAATCAAACACAGTAGCATCCTGACAATGTCTTTCCATTATTGGAAATGCTCCCTTATATACACTTACTTCTATATATGACATGAATAACTAAGGCTCAGAATGTTCCCCTAGTGGCTTTCTCAGCCATTTTAACATGTTTGGATGACATCTCTTTCTTACAAACCAAGATTTCAAGGAGGTAGGTGGCGTCTTTAGTCTGCTCGAAATTTCAAATTTTTTTAGACTGAAATACAGCTCAATTACTATGCTTGATAAATCATAGTGAAATTCTATGGTATTGATATAGTAATTTATGTTGTTTCATATCCTCCGTGGGCAAAACTATAAAAGGATTAGTAACCGAGTACAAGTAAATAGAAGACAGAACAGTAAATGAAGAAGTAAAGCAAACAATTATATGTTTTAAGAAAAATATGCTTAAGAACATATTTCTAAATAGCAATATATATATATATATATATATATATATATATAT